GACACACTGACTGGCAGATCTACTGACTGACACACTCCCCGACACACTGACTGGCAGATCTACTGACTGACACACTCCCTGACACAAATCCACAGCTCATTCACTCTGGTTCACACCCCTGCCTCTGAGATCTGCTGCCCCCTCCTGGTCCATCTGTGACACTGCCCCCGGCTCCGTCTCCGTCTCCTCTCATCTTCTGTCAAACCCCAGCTTTGCGATTTTGAGCCATTGTTTTAAGTTCATTTTTTAAAAGGCAAATTTAGGAATTATAAAGTCTGCCCTAAACCTTTTTCATTTAAAATCGACCTTTCCTATTCTCTGTTAATAACTGAAGTTTGGCTTTTGCAGTTAAGAGCTAGCCTCACTGATCTGGCTACATTACCCTCTCATCTTGTACAATTTGGCTTGCGTCACAAACCTGGTGAAGAAATTGCTCACTTCCAGCCCCGATTTTTAAGCAGTTAACATATGTAATTATTACGATTTATCGAAAAAAAAATTTAAAAAATTTTGCGTCCCTGGGTGGGCTCGAACCACCAACCTTTCGGTTAACAGCCGAACGCGCTAACCGATTGCGCCACAGAGACCGCCGTGCTCAGAGTGATAGAAATTACCGTTTTAAGGTGTTTAAATTAGATTTCAATTTACAGATTTAATTTAATTTTAATTAGATTTCCATTTCGATCTTTACACATACGGGGATGTTATCACTGTAAGAAAGTTAAGAAATTTTAAAACAAGCATTCAAATGTTTGACCTCTGGCTCCACACCGAAGAGAACAATAAAATCGATACCGGAAACTACAAGTTAGAATTTAGCTGGTTTGATAGAGGCTGTCTCTCTGAAAAGCATAACTGTACAATCAGAGTCTTTCTCCGATCTGTCGGCTCTCTCTGTCTCAATGCCAGAGTGAATCACGTCTCTCGCTGCTCTATGGGCACAGAGTTCAGCGCTGGTGCCATACGGCGGCGCCGTGGCTTAGTTGGTTAAAGCGCCTGTCTAGTAAACAGGAGATCCTGGGTTCGAATCCCAGCGGTGCCTTTTGTGTCGCGTGTTGTTGATTTTACTAGCTAGGTTGTTGAATTATATTTCTTATTATCCTCGCCATCGTGTCCTCAATGACGAGGGTGTTTAAATCGGCTGATATTACACGGCTGTTTGTCTGATATTATCTTGGAGCTAATTTGAATAAAGAGTGTTTTAAGCCTTACATTTTGCCTCGGTCAGGAGTTTTGGATGGGGTGGTAAGTGGCCTTTTTTGGGAAATGCATATGCTGTAGTTCGGACGAAACAACGAATGTAGACATTTCTCGAGGCTTATCGAACATGGAATTAGAGGAGTTTCGCGCACAATGTTCTTTGATTCGGACGCCGAGTAGCCGCACTAATCGGAACCAACACTACAATGTCCTCGCAAAAAAACAGTTGTTCAGCGGTGTAATGAACAGTATTTCAAGTGAACGAACATGGCGCAAATGAGACCAACTCAAAGCACGAAAAACGAGGCGATGACAATGAGATAGTGATATTTAGCGTTACGGGGAGAGCGAAACCTATTTGCCTTACATTTGTAGTGCTATTTTGCTGTTCGTCTTTTGGATTATTTGGTAAACTACAATAGACAATAAGGAAGCCTGGGTATATCGTGTGGTAGCGTGGCCGAGCGGTCTAAGGCGCTGGATTAAGGCTCCAGTCTCTTCGGAGGCGTGGGTTCGAATCCCACCGCTGCCAGGATATTCTTTTTTAACCTTGTAATGATAAATCATATTTTCTAAATCTAAGAATGCCTCTTGGTTTCTAAAATTAATCCATTGTTTAACCTCTGTGATTCTGTATTGCTGCTACTCAGACTTCCAGGACGTCATGCGACGGCTGGATCTCATTAGCACACGAAAAGCGCGTTTGTTTCTGCGCCGTTCGTACGCAGTGTCTCCAAGTTTGGTCTCTATTACGACCCGTAGGGAGAGGGAAGTGTATCTTTCTAGTAGGTAGTTGGAGTTTTTCTGAGCAGTAGCGCTTGACGCTTTAAAGGTGAGTTGTTATTTTTGTCGTTTCAGCTCAGGAGTCGAGTTTGTTGTTGACTTTACACAAACACTGCAAAAAACAAACAAGAAAACAGCCGTGGTAAACCACCTAGCAAAGCAAAAGAGACTGCCAGTTGTCTTTACCGGCTGCAGTATTACCTAATTAGATGTGCTCGACTGCCGCATGAACGTTATATATCTTACCAGAAACGCATTTAATTAAAAAACTCAGAAAGGAGGAAAAAGGCGGGAATAAATAAGCGCATAGGCAGAAATACAGTCGGGAAAAAAAAGCTGTATTGAGGTTTGATATTCTTACACAAATGCGTAAGATACCCTAATACGTTATCATGTTATATACAGTATATTGCTCATGGAGACGAGAAGTCCATTTCTTCACGATTTATCTTTGATTTACGTCGTGTAATTGTGATCGTGAAAGGGATTCTGGGAGCCATTTTAGGATATTGTGTGGAAACCGAGCAATTTGTCTCTTAAATCGTCCCGCTTCTTTATTCCGCTTTTTTTTCCAGGAATTCCTTGGTATTTGGTTTCGCAAGTCTGCAAAAAGGTTATTATATACACTAAATGCATGTATAAACTGAATTCGCTCACTTTGTCTGGATAATAAAAGCGTTGGCACTACTTTTGAATGTGAATGGTGCCAGTAAAGGATTATTATAAAAGAAAGGAGATTTGACAACAGAGCTGCAGGACTTTCTATCCCTTTCCCTTGCAGAGCCAGAACAGATATGGCATAACCATCAGGTTTTGGAAAAGCTGGTCACTGAACACGGGATTTTGAAGTCGCTCTGTGATTGAAATACCACAATAACCAGAAACTAAACATAATCACAGCCACAACCAATACCTGCTTTTAATGTTTGCACACCTCGTTTTTCTTTTCTGTCTGTTTATGTAAAAAAATTGCGGGAAAAGCAACCTAGCTATGTTGTTGAAGTCGATAGACTGGATTCATTAAGGAAACAGCAGGCACGGATACTCAGATCAGTTACCTGCTAACTGCCAGTAGGCTGAATGTGTTGATAGTCCTCCTGTTGTTTTTGTCCTCGGTGTTGTTATTAATACAATTACATCCAGTGTTCATATGTCACTGTTCTGTGCCAGAAGACATCAGAGCAGGATGATCTGATGTCGCTGACTTGTTAGGGAGTATTTAATCTGGAGATTCAGTACAAAAGAGGGCTGTAAATTACTGTTTATCACATAACAGACAGCGTATAAACAGTTGCAGCTGAAGGCATATTATTTAACAATACTGTTTAGTTTTTGTTTTAATTTTGTAAAACGGAGAGTGTGATGACAATTGATTTACAATATTCTGTAAAACTGTTATGCTTAAGCAGGGAGCTGCGTCAGCATGCTTAGGCTGCAAAGGAACAAGTAAAGGTTTTTTCCAGGCCGAAAAGAGACACACGTTTTGGCTGTGGAGCCTTCTTCGGGTCTCTTTTCTTTCCAGCGAAATAAACCTTTACTTGATCCTTTGCCACTATAAGGTTTCTTTCTCTAGTTGATCGTATTCAGCCTCAGAGCGAAATAGCAGAAATTCTAGTACCTTTATTCGCATACCTGAACACATTCATTGGCTGTGGTAGGGTTTTCCTCTCTCTCCTGCACCGGCACGGTTTGCCAGATGGAGCCGTCAGTCAGAGGGTGGGATAATAATAATAATAATAATAATAATAATAATTGCTTACACTTATATAGCGCTTTTCTGGACACTCCTCTCAAAGCGCTTTACAGGTAATGGGGACTCCCCTCCACCACCACCAATGTGCAGCCCCACCTGGAGGATGCGACGGCAGCCATAGTGCGCCAGAACGCTCCCCCCACACCAGCTCTCAGTGGGGAGGAGAGCAGAGTAATGTAGCCAATTCATAGAGGGGGATTATTAGGAGGCCATGGGAAATTTGGCCAGGACGCCGGGGTTACACCCCTCCTCTTTTCGAGAGATCCTTGGCGCTTCTTGGTGCTCTCTCTGTTCTCCGCCCTCCTCAGGGGAGCCATGAAGCCGCCATCCCGCCGCCGCGCTGCCCCCGTGCGCTACAGCACCAGCGAGGAACACAAGGCGCCGCCGCCGCGGGTGACCTGGGCGGCTTGGAGCATGCCAGAGCGGCGCCGCCTGCTGGCCGCGCTGAGGCAGCAGAGCCGCTGCCCGGAGATCGACCTCCCGGCTCTGCAGTCCAGGGTGCCCGGCCGCAGCGCGCAGGAGGTACGGCCAGGGCGGGTCAGGGCTGACAGAAACGCCCAAGACGAAGAAGAACGGATCTGTGTTTTGGGTGATCGCTTTGGAAGGGTGGGCGTGGGTTTTGGTGGAATCCGGCCTTCGGCTCAAACCGGATGCTTTCCCAGACGGGGGAGCTCGGTGGATTCAGACTGTGGAACTGTCTCCACCTACTCGGACCTCTGAGAAGAAGTCCTGTTTGTTTTATGTTTTTTGACTCTTTTGTTCAGTCAGTAGACAAAGGAACACTTTGGATGGTTCACTGATTTGCAGCTATATGACTTCATAATTATATTGATTGTTATTGTATCATAATAACAATAATAATAATTCCCTTATACTTATAGAGCGCTTTTCTGGACACTCCCCTCAAAGCACTTTACATGAAATGGGGGTCCCCTCCACCACCACCAGTCTGCAGCCCCACCAGGGTGATGCGACAGCAGCCATAGTGCACCAGTACGCTCACCACACACCAGCTCTCAGTGGGGAGGAGAGCAGAGTGAAGAAACCAGTTCAGAGATGGGGATTAGTAAGAGGCCATGATTGGTAAAGGCCAATGGGAAACTCTTTTCGAGAACCACCCTGGGATTTTTAATGACCACAGAGAGTCAGGACCTCGGATTTACCTTTCATTCGAAGGGCTGCGTCTGTTTTACAGTATAGTGTCCCCGTCACTATACAGGGGCATTAGGACCCACACAGACTGCAGGGTGAGCGCCCCTTGCCGGCCCCACTAACACCTCTTCTAGCAGCAACCTTATCTTTCCCAGGAGGTCTCCCATCCAGGTACGGGCCAGGCTCAACCCTGCTGAGCTCCAGTGGGCTGCCAGCTGCCAGCTGTGAGCTGTGAGCTGCAGGGTGATATGGCTGCTGTCTTTTAAACGATCTCGACTGCTTGTTAATACTGTAGAGGAAGCCAAAAAAGTGTCTCATGCGCAAGGGTGTAAGGAAGGTGGCAAACGGGCAGAGTCATTTGCAATTACACAGCAGTGGATAAGAGTGTCTTGCACCCCTCCTCCCCACACAGATCCTGGACTTCCTGCAGTTCCTGAAGGGCCGTGTGAACACGCAGGTGACGCAGACGCTGACCCAGCAGCGGCAGGAGCAGCAGAAGAACAAGGTGCCCGTGGAGCTGTGGGCGGACCTGGCGCAGGACATGGCCGGGCAGCTGGAGGCGCCCATCACGGCCGCTTTCTCGCAGGTACGCCGGCGCCGACCCTGACCCTGACCCTCTTCGTCTTGCTAAGGGCTGTGTCCCACGCCCCCCCTGTGGTAGCTTGCAATAAGCACACGTTAATGAACTTCAACACGCTTTACTGTCATTTAACGAACAGCTCGCAGCAGCTCCTCAAGCGGCAGCACAGTCTGTTTGCTTACACTCTCTTCACTAGCACAGAAAGCGGACAACCAACAGATCCGGTTCCGAGGTCAAAGAGTCTTTGACCTTTGGGTTATGATAACCTTCAACAACTATAATGTGTATGTATACTTCAGTCTGTATTCATTTCTGTCCATATAAGTACAATTGTGACAGGTTTTGTTTCTCATTTTTGCAGGCAATTACACATATGTAGGGTGACCATATAGCTCTGTGGTCACTGAGACAGATACAATATAACCCAAAGCAGCATGAATGTGGGTGACTCGGATTTGTATATTAAACTGTGAAGTGTACAGAGTCAATTATTGTGAAAGTATTCTGGTATTGCTGTTCCTGCCTATACCAGTGTGCCTTAGTGCTGGCAAACTGTTGTGCACCATGTTGTGTAATGAGGTATACAATAGTAACATACAACAACAGAAGCACACGTGTGCAGTGTGGTCAGTTCCTCCCTTGTCATGTGGACTAGAAGAAACTGTCTCATTTCCTCGGTAACGTGTCTCTAACAGTCCTGTCTGAAAATGTCTGTGTTGTAGATGTTGGTGATTGCTGCCACAGAGCCTAGTAGTCTCTTCCATTCTTATCCTCCTCGATCTGTGCAACAAGTGGACCGAATCATCCAGGTACCCAAACGCCTACGGCACCAAGGCCCGTTCAAAGAGTTCCAGAACGTTGGGTCCTCCACCAGTCGGAATCCCAGTGTGCCAATTCGTCTGTCCGTTTCTGCTAATCGGAGCCCAGGAACCCCATCCTGCAGCAGTCAGAAGCCGACGCCCCCATTGTCTTCTCCAGTGAGAGCCAATCAGACCCAAGGACATCAAACGTCAGCCAACAGCAGCCCAGCTGCAAGCACATCGACCCCTCCCAGTCTGCCAACACCTTCCCCTGGCCCACAGTCCTCTAGTCTAATCTCCGCCAGGCCTGGCTGCCTGCTGGCCTCCTCCACCTCTGTTTCCAGCCGGAAAGAGGCCCCTGCCCCCACGCCACTGATCCCGTCCAGTGCTGACCAGTCCACCGTGCGCCACCCCACACAGACTCAAGGGTCTGGACTGCCTCTGTATGTGAATTTTGAAAAGCTGTACCGCTACTTCAACCCTTTGTCCCATAAAAAGAAGGAGCCCAAGCTCACCGCTCTGGGTGAGTGCTGGCAGATGCTGTTTCTTCCATTCAGAACCTCCTTTGGGATACAACCTTTGCATCTCCACACCTATTTTGGGAACCTGTCTCCATTTTCTGATTAGTTTTTGGATAGTCTTTAACAACTAAATGCTCAGTTTGTATCTCATTTGGTGACTAAATCCTCTGATTAAATTGCTTTTCTGTTGAGTTTCCAGAGTTCTGTAAGTGAATGTGATATCAACCAAAATGGTGCTTTTTGCCAGAGCAGATTGAGGCCTGTTGGCCAGGCATTATTGGGTAGAATTGTAAAATTCTGTCACTTTTACTCTTAACCCTCGTTCTTTCTGTATTTTCTTCCACCTTTCCTTTCTCTGCAATTTTTCTCCTTTTCTACCCCATTGTCACCCACCCCCTGCCCCCACCTCTTGCACTCTGCTTTCTTTCCTCTCCCCGTCTCAGAGAGCGCAGTAATGCTGGACCTCCTGCTGTCTCTTCCGGAGGAGCTCCCCCTGCTGGATGGCCGCGAGCTGCAGCACCACCTGCGCCAGGTCCACAGCCGGCTCAGCTCTCCTGCCGAGCCCCGCCCCCTCGCAAGTCGCAAGCGCAATTCATCCCCCGGGGCCAGCGAGGCTGCGGGGGCCGACTGCAAGCTGCCGGACGAGGTGGGAGAACCCAGCTCCGCCGACAGTCGGGCTGGGGACATTCCCTGTCCTGGGAGTAATGATTCTGGAGCTGGGATGGGTGCCAGGTTGACCAGTGGCATAGAAAACAGACCCACGGCCTCCAGTGGCATGGCAAACGCTGATGGCTCTTCCGGCATGCCAGCCAACATGCCTGACAAGGAAAAGCCCGATGAAAGAGAGGTTATCAGGCTGTCCCTTATGAATGACAATAACAATGCAGACGCAATGGAATCGGTCACCAGTCAAAGAGGGGTTTGCTCAGCAGCCATAGTGTCCACCAATCAAGAGAGAAGAACTGCAAGCTCATCCGGTCCAGAGGGAGGTACTTCATTACCCCTCAGTGAGCAGCCAGAACCAACGGCAATACCATCTGATGAAGATCCCTCCCACTTGCGTAGCTCAGATGGAGCCAGACCCCAGCCAGGTGCCAACAGAGCCAAGCCGGACTTTGCAAAAGCAGGGTTGTGCCCGTTGAACCCTTTCATGATCCCGCTGAAGCTTCTTGTGAGGTCAGAATCAAGACAGAGAGTCGGGTGAAGTCTTACATTATGTCATGGTGCAAGTCCACTAGGAGTGACTTTACTGTGTGAATAAGTTATATTTTAAGTCCTGCATGTTACATGTACCGGGGCAGTGTTAATTTGCCAGAAATTAAAATGCTCTTGATTCCCAGTTTAAGGTCAATGGTGTAAAATCAGGATTACACTGTTAATAGTGCGCCAGAAAGTGTTATGGTATAACTAGTAGTCCTTCTGTTCTTAATTGACTTTTTTGTATATCACTCAGTTCAGTTGTTCATCTGCAGTTTTATTTTTTTAAATAATAAAATGTAAAGTTTATCTCTTTGTACTGCTAGAATGGTGTTTCTGAGATTGGGGTTCTGGATCCCTGGTGGTCTTTGGAGAGGTCTGGTCATGGTTATGCAATCTGTATTCGAGGTTTAAAATCTAGATCCAGTCATTCAGATCCAAGGTTGATTAAAAACTACAGAGAAGGAGCTGTACACACACACAGTGTGTTTCACAAAGCAACGTGCTGTGAGTGAACTGCCCTTCCCAAGAAGGGCACTATTAATCTAAAGTTTCTTTTAATTGTTTTATAAGCCTGTTGAAATTTGCAGTGGAACAGGTGACCACACATCATGATGCTAATTCATTTGAAGCTGTTGCTTAATTGTTGCCCCCACAGTAAAATGTCCCTATTTTTATAAACTCCAAATGTTAAAAAGGAGGAAGCCATAGACAGTCCTGGTCAACAGAGGGATTTATTGTTTTGTTGTTGCATTTAGTTCATAGCTTAGCCTTTTTAGCATGTCATCCTATGCTCACCTGGTTAGAACATCTATGTTCTTACCTGCACTCACTAGCTAAATATTAGGAGCCCCCAGTGAATAATGTGTTCATTCCTCTGCAAGCAGCTAGAACAGCGTTTGGGTTTTGAGATCTCTGCAGTCTGATCCCAGTCTTCCAGCAGGATCACCTTCGTTTGCAGTTGTCATGAGGGGCGGTGGTTCATGAGAGAGTGACCTGCACGTTCCACTGATTTCCCAAAGGATTGGGAATGGTTCTGTTTGTAGAAGATGGGGGAAGTCCTGTGTCCTGCTATTGAAGCCAGCTCTCAGAGTTCTGCCACTGAGGGGGTTTGCCTGTTGGACTGGGAGAGGGGGTTCATTGCTCTGAACAGAAGCATACAGCACACCCTCTCCATACACGCACACACCTGTCACTGATCCAGCATCATTCAGCCTCCATCACAAATGACCAGCATTGTGTTTTCAAGATGCCTTTATTTCCTTTAAGAAAATAGAGCAAAATCGGGTTTGTATATTCAGTCCTAACCTGCTAATATTATAGCGAACCTCCAGTGTAGTCAAATGTTAACATTTTTACAAATTCCAGGTCAAGACATTGTCGGCTCTCTTAGAACAATAATAGAAAATACACAATATTAAAAATAGTATAGAAAACAGGACACAAGTATAAATTACTTGAAAATAAATTTAAATATTTCTTTACGCTTAGGAATGTGGGAGTATGGAGTATTAGCCCTTGGCTAATTTCAAGAAAGGAACGAATGAGTTCCTCCAATCAATTAGCTGCCAAGCAGGTTAGAGTGGCCAAATGACCTCCTCTCATTTGTATATTTCTTATGTTTTCTAATCAGATAATTGAATAATCTAGCTACCTAACTATAGTGATTTAAATGTCAATTTCAAGTCAATTCAGGCTGTTGATCTAACTATAGTGATTTCAATGTCAATTTCAAGTCAACTCAGGAAGTCAATGATTAAAACTCAATGCCTACCAGATGGCAGCACATGAGTGTAAGGTGCTATGATGTACTGTGCAAAGAAGCAGGAGGAGTTGAAGACCTAAGCTTTAAAGCACCAGCGACTGGACTATGACATCTGGCTAATAGGGCTCAAACTTTACTTTGAATATGTGCCCAATCCATGATGTATGGACATTGGCCATTGCCTGTTTAGGGTTCAGGCTATGTCACTGCCCAGTTGTGACCACATTCACCCAGGTGTCACTTGCTGTACAGCTTCCACTGGGATTGAGTGGGCTTCAGTCAGCTGCTGCATCCACCAGACATCTCTGTAACCTTCCAGATGACAGTGAGACAAGCTCTGGGGCAAAAGTTCTGTCAAT